TTATAAGCATGTAAGGTGAGCGGATATTCTTTCACACTTCAAAAATAGAGACAAACCGTTTCTTCATAAAAAAACCCGGCTCTTACAGCCGGGTTTTTTTTAATATTCTGAAGTAATTTAGTTCATTACTTCCTGTGCCTCACGGGGCATATCTTTTTCCACCACCGGAGCATCATCTGTTTGCACCAGGGTCATTTCATCTACCAGGTTTTTAGCACCGGCATATTTGTCAATTACAAAAAGAATATAACGGGCATCTACGGAGATAGTACGCTGCAGGTTAGTTTCAAAGAAGATATCACCACTCATCGCTTCCCAGTTTCCGTCAAAAGCACAACCAATAAGCTCTCCTTTGCCATTTATTACCGGGCTTCCGGAATTACCACCGGTAATATCATTATTGCTGATAAAGCACACCGGAAGTTCTCCTTCGGAATTTGCATAGCGGCCGTAATCACCTTCTTCTATAAGACTGATCATATGATCCGGCACCACAAATTCCATATCATTAGGATCTTCCTTTTGCAGGATACCTTCTGCGGTGGTATAATAATCATAAAACACACCATCCCTTGGGTAGTAACTACCTACGGTACCGTACGTCATGCGCATGGTGCTGTTGGCATCAGGAGAATAATTGCGGTTGGGATTCATCTCACGCAGGCCGGCCGTAAGTAAGCGGTAACCTTTTTCCATCTTAGCATCCGTATCTTCATGTGCCTGGGCAGAACCCCGGTACATATTTATCAATTGGCGACCAGCCATGGCTGCATAATCTTTACGAAGGGTTTTTTCTTTCGGTTTTTCAAGATATTCCAGCACTTCTTCTTTTGAAGCCAGAAAAGAATCTTCGTACACCTCATCCGCAAACTCAGAGAAGTTTCCGTCAAACTTATCTTCTACCAGGCGGAAAAATTCCGGTTGCTGGTCTTTAGGAACATTGTCATAATACATCTGAAAGAGAGCTGCAAAGCGCTCCTTGTCCATATCCTTATTATACTCCTTGAAGTGCTCTTCTACAGATTCATTTATGCTGGCCATAATCGCATTAAAACGGCCTTCATACTCTTCTTTAATCTGCTTGCGGGCTTCATCATCTTCTGCTTCGTCCATTTTTTCTTCCATTTGCTCGCGGATGGTAAAGGCAGCATCCATTAAACGGTCAAAACGAAAAGCAAACAGGGTAAGGTCAGAACCTAAAAGCCCGGCTTCCAATACATAAACATTACCCGTTACATATTCATCAGACTTATTATAAGCTTCTTCCAGCAGGGAGATCGTTTCACCGTATTTTTCCTGGCGGGCAGGCTTGGCTTTTACCCATTTGGCAAAATCATCTTCAATAACTTTTTTCTTAGCCCAAACATTGTTGTTTTTCAATTGCTCGGTCTGCCCGATGTAGTACTTCCAGTAATTGGAAGTTTGAGCGTATTTTGAAGAGTAGGCAATACGGGTAGCAGGATCACGATCCATGTATTTTTTCATGATCTCAAGCTTGCGGTCACGAATCTTTACCACGGTGGGGTTGTACTTGTCAATGGCCTGCTTTACGCCATAACTGCTTAAGTAGCGATCCGTACTTCCTGGGTAACCAAATACCATTGAAAAATCACCCTCTTTCACACCGTCCAGAGAAACAGGCAGGTAGTGCTTGGGCTTCATGGGAATATTTTCTTCGGAATAATCAGCGGGAGTGCCATCAGGTGCGGTATATACGCGGAAAAGCGAAAAATCACCAGTATGGCGCGGCCACATCCAGTTATCTGTGTCACCACCAAATTTACCAATGGAGCTGGGTGGAGCACCTACCAGGCGCACATCGTTGTAGCGCTCATATACAAAAAGATAAAACTCATTGCCGTGGTAAAAGCTTTTTACATTGGCCTCATAGTCATTTTCCTCAGTAGCTTCATCGGCAATTTGCTTGCTGATTTCACCAATTTTCGCATCGCGGTCTGCTTCACTCATTTCAGGAGTAAGCTCAGCATTTACACGCTTGCTCACATCTTCCATACGCACCAGGAAGCGCACAAAAAGGCCTTCGTTGGTTTTTTCCTGATCATAAGAACGCGCCCAGAACCCATCCGACAGGTAATCATTCTCCACAGAAGAGTGGCTTTGAATAGAGCTGTAACCACAATGGTGGTTGGTCAGGATAAGTCCGTTGGGGGATATGATCTCACCCGTACAAAAACCCCCAAAAGAAACGATGGCGTCCTTCAGGCTTGAATTATTCACAGAATATAGTTCTTCGGGAGTAAGCTGAAGTCCCAGTTTTTGCATCTCCGCATAGTTGCGGTTCAGTAATAATGGTAACCACATTCCCTCATTGGCAAACATGGGTAATGCCAGCGCAAAAGCCAGCAAAAAAGAAAAACACTTTTTCATTTCAATCAACATTAAATTTTTCTGTGGCAATATTAAAGAATCTGTACCGGTTTTGTGTTTAAAGTGTTCGGGAATGAACACTATTTTTAACTTTTAGGTTCTATGATTCACGTGTATAGCTAAATGAGCTTACTTCAGGTAAACAGTTTTGCGATTTATGAATTCCATCATACCATCACGGGATAATTCGCGGCCATAACCGGAGTTTTTTGTACCACCAAAAGGCAACCTGGGGTCAGATTTAACCAGCTCATTTATAAAGTAAGCACCATCGCTTACCCGGTTTGCCATAAGCAGGGCCTTGTCTGTATCGGTAGTACAAACAGTTACTCCCAACCCATACCTGGACCGTTCAGACAGCTGGAAAGCCTCTTCTTCACTATGGGCTCTGACCATGGCGGCCACTGGACCAAATGTTTCTTGGTCAAATACGGGCATTTCAGGCTTTACATCACCTAATACGCTTGGTTCATAATAACAATTATCCTGTTGCCCTCCGCACAGTAATTTGGCTCCTTTTTTAATAGAAACCTGCACCTGTTGATGGAGTTGATCCGCAAGATCTTTACGAGCCAGCGGACCTATTTGTGTGCTATCGTCAAGAGGGTCTCCGGCCTTTAATTGCTGAACGGCCCTTGTGAATTTATCTACAAACTCATCATATATGCCATCCAGTAAAATAAACCGCTTGGCAGCAATGCAACTTTGCCCACCGTTTAGCATACGTGCGGTGCAGGCAGTTTGTACGGCCTGATCAATATCCGCATCTTCCCAAACAATAAAGGCATTGTTACCGCCTAGCTCCAGGAGGCTTTTTTTAATATGTTTTCCGGCCAGGGTAGCCACGGCAGAACCCGCTCCTTCGCTTCCCGTAAGAGTTACGGCCCGAATGGAATGGTGGGAAATGAGCATTTCGGTTTTATCATGGTGCAGGATCAGGTTTTGAAAAACACCTTCCGGAAAGCCAGCCTTCCGGAAAACCTCCTCAATTTGTAAAGCACATCCAAAAACATTTGGGGCATGCTTCAGGATACCAGTATTACCAGCCATTAAAGTAGGAGCGGCAAAACGAAAAACCTGCCAGAAGGGGAAATTCCAGGGCATAATGGCCAAAACCGAACCTATAGGATCATGACGCACAAGGCTTTTTTGGGCATCGGTTTCAATAAGCTCATCCTTCAGGAAAGCAGCAGCATTTTCAGCGTAATAATCGCATACCCAGGCACATTTATTGATCTCACCACGGGCTTCGGTTATGGGTTTGCCCATTTCCAAAGTGATCATACGGGCGTATTCATCCGCATTACTCCTGAGTATCTTGCCGGCCCTGATCATCAAAGTGGCCTTTTCGCTAAAAGAAACTTTACGCCATTCCTGAAAAGCGCTGTCCGCCTTTTCTAAAACGGTAAACATTTCTTTTTTACTACACTCCTGATAACGGCCTACCTCACGATTGGTATAGGGGTTAAAGCTTTTAAATTCCATGAATTTTATTTGGTTAGGCTACCTGACAAAGGAACCTGCTCCCGCTTATCCTCCACCAATTGTGAAGAGTAATTGGCATGAATAGCATTGATCCAGCTTTTGGCACGCGGAGTAAGTTTGAAATCATCGGTCATCATACGGCCGCGTGAAACCAATATACCCATGTCCGCTCCCTCATACAGGTAATCACCTTTTTTGGAGATACGGAGAAAAAATGCTTCACTCTCACTTTCCACAGCTCTCCGGTGGGTATCCATACGGTCAAATTGTATATGCCCGGTATCAAACATTCGCCAGATCCCGGATTGCGGGGCTTCGGTTACGTACTCAATAGTGTCTTTGGTGTGTTTAATGATAAGCTGGCTCCAGCTATCAATATTTTCCTGTCTGGCCCAGCGTTCATTAATGGATTTAACACTCAGTTCGTAATCGATATCCATCCATTCTAAAATATGAAAAAGGTAGAGAGGTGCATCAGCCAGAGCAAATACAGCGTGGTTGGTGATGGAGCTGGCTCCGGTAACGCGTGGGTTTAGTTCACCGAGGTAGATTTGCCCATTGTCCTGATCAATAAGGAAATCCAGTTCAAAATAGCCCTTATAACCTTCCTTTTGCAACTGGTCTCCAAAGAGCTGTGTGTATTTCCGCGCTTTTTGGCGCAAGGTGGGAGAAAATGAATCCGGATAGATCTCATTACCACACCAGCCGCCTTTATAGGGGGTGAGTTCTTCAAAACCCACCAGTTCCGTCATCAATGGAGCTACTATAGTACCATGCCGGGTAACACAAGCTTCAATAGCAGATCCGCGACAGTTGATCCGTTTCATAATCTTCACTTCATCTTCCTGCGTGATCTCTTCCTCGTACTTCAGGAAGTCTTCCTTGTTGGATATAAAAAAAGTAGTGTGTCCGGAGTCTCCGAAAGGGGTTTGGATTACAAGGTCATTCCCCAGTGATTTAGCTACTTCGTTAAGGTGTTTGTAGTTCTTAACAGGAGATAGAACGTAAGGCACACAAGGTACGCCTGCTTTTTCAGCAAGGCGATTGGTGTTTACCTTATTGTCCATGGAGTTCCGCATTTTCGCATTTGGAAAAACAATCTCCAGCCCCAGCTTTTTAGCCAGTTTCTCGGTTTTTTCATTAAACATGAGGAAAAGAGCCTTGCCGGCTTTACGGCCTTTTGTCCGTGCTTTGATGTAGGATTGTACTTCCGGATGTTGTAACAGGTAATTATTGATGTCCTCTATGCTCTCAAACTCATCATGTGGAATTTCTTCCACAGGAGATATCACATTAGGGTGGAGTCCGTCAAAACATTCAATATGGCAGATAAACTTGAAACCCTTTATCCATTCATCGGCTCCCAAAAGATTGAAATTGGTGGCGCTTATAAAATAAATAGGCGTTTCATTCTTGTAAAAGAATCGTCTTATATCGGGGATACCTTTTAAAATGGGTGTATTGATTTTTTTTGTGCTCATAATTTTAAATTATTCTTGGTTTTTAAAAGGCTTTTTTTTGGTGGTGCTCATTCCCATGGCGCCCATGGCAGTAGCCGTTTTTTGACGGTTCAGAACGGATTCCCGGAAAACACGCAGACCAAGGTCAGCCCGGTATCCATGAATTTCTGATACATCCAGTGCAATCATAAAACGGATGATTTCCATACTAACTACCTGTCCGGGTACCAGTACCGGGAAACCGGGAGGATAAGGTATGACAAAAGAAGAAGCTACTAATTCATGCCCTTCTTCAATGGCAGCCTTGCCATCGTGAAGGGTAATATATTCACAATGATCTTCATTGTAGGCCAGAAAATAGGCTTCCCGCATATTTCCCCCCGGAAGACCCGGGACAGCCTGGAAAGAAGAGTGAAACCGACTAAAGTCCGGAAGAGGTGGTACATCTTCAGTAAGAGAGTGCATGCGCCTTTGCACCATTTCAGTTTCATGCTTATTTAGCGATCGGAATTCATCATCCAACTGCGCGGCAATCTTCAGAAGTGCGTTAGTGAGATAGGCCACGCTGCCACGCGTAGTCCCGATATTGGTCATTAAAAGTATAGTGTTGCGGGACGTCTTATTGATCTGGATATTGAATTTATCCATCAGATACTTATTTTTGAAAGTATCACCATCCACACCGGTGCGACCTATGTACAAAGTTATTTTAGTGGCGTCCAGCACAAACTCATCTTTCTCCCAGGCCTCCTCCATCCGGTTCCATCCGGTTTTGGTGTCGTAATACTCTTTAAGGCCACTTTCGCGAAACTCATCCGGAATAAAATCCCGCACGGTAAGCACGTCAAAATACTTATTTAGCTGAGGGTTGTCATTAATCTTGGCCCGTAACACCATGGCCATTTCAATTCCCTTTTCCACCATTTCGTACCCCTCAAACTGCACCTGCCTTCTGCCGGCATCTAATGAAGCCAGCATTTGATAGTTGGGCGAGGTGGAAGTGTGTGTCATATAAGCTTCCAGGAAGGTGTTTTCTGATTTTCGCCTGAAATCCTGGTCCCAGATATGGATCATGGATCCTTGCCGAAAGCTGCTCAGTGTTTTGTGAGTGCTCTGGGTAGCGTATACCCGTATTCGAACCAGGTCAGGGTTTGGAAAGGAAGGAGTTTCTCCCTCTTTCAAATTTTTGATGTGTTCTTTATACTGTTTGCGGTAGCTTGAACTCCGGTATTTTTCACAGAGTTTACGGGCGGTAAACATACCCGTACGTTGCTTGTAATTGTATGTAAACCCGGCAAAGGCAAACCAGGCCTCATCCCATAAAAAAATAATATCGGGCTTAATGGCTAAAACCTCCTGCATTACCCGTTCCACATTATACACGAGTCCGTCAAAAGTGCAATTGGTGAGAAGAAGCATTTTTACCCGGTCCAGACGGCCCGCTGCTTTAAGCTGCAATAGCTTTTCCTTGATGAGCTTAAGAGGGACCGTCCCATACATGGAGTACTTTTCAATAGGATACGAATCCAGGTATACGGGGCATGCTCCGGAAAGCACCAGTCCATAATGATGTGATTTATGGCAGTCACGGTCAATCAAAACCAGGTCTCCTGGTTCTACCAGGGCCTGTACCACTATTTTATTGGCGGTGGATGTACCATTGGTAACAAAAAAAGTACGCAAGGCACCGTAGGCCTCAGCTGCCATTTCCTGGGCTTTTTTAATAGGCCCGGTAGGTTGCAATAATGAGTCCAGTCCACCGGTGGTGGATGAAGTCTCCGCCAGGAACATATTCCTTCCGTAAAAGTCGCCCAGGTCACGTATCCAGCGCGACTTAAAAACGGAGTTGCCACGGGAAATAGGCATGGCATGAAAAATACCGGTTGGCTTCTGGCTGTATTCTTTTAAGGCACTGAAAAAAGGGGTCTCGTAACGTTCACGAATACCACGGATAATGCCCAGGTGTAATTCCTGCAGATCTTCCCTCCGGTAATAAATACGTCTGAACAACTGTAGGGTACTGTCTTTTAAATCACGGAGAGAGGTATCTGTTACGTAATACGTATCCAGTTCCGGACGGAACTGCCGTATCAGTTTACCCAGGAGGGGGCCAAGTTCGGATTCTGTTTTGGACTCCATTTTTACCTTCAGCACATTCTGAATGTAGGGTAAAATAAAAGTGGAAAGATTGGGTGAATGATAAGGCGGTGCATACCGTATTACCACCGCCTGAATATTATGGTTAAAGAGCAGGGCGATCAAGGCATCCTGAAAAGAGCGTTGCACCGTAATGTCATAGGCAAATTGCTCATTGGGGTCACGTAGTTCACGAAGTTTTTCCCGTAAGGCGATCTCGTCAGTTGAGCTCAGGTCTTCTACAAAAAGTACTTCAAAGTAATTTTTGCGGGATCCTGTCGGGGCTTCAAGGTTTTCTTCAGCGGTAACCAGGTCATTTTCTTCTTCAAATAAGAAGTATGGGTTGCTGCGGTACGAATCTCCAACCAACTGGCGGGTAATATCCGTCACACTGTGCAACAGGGCTGTATGTTCTTTCCGCTTAAGGCTATGGAGCAATTTTTCAATCCGCATCATTCCCGGGAAGGCAAAATACTGCTCAATAATCTTCAGGTTGGAGAGCATCTCTTCCGCACCTTCTGCATATTTCTTTTCACCAGCGGAGCCTTTACTGCATTGAGCCAGTTCGGAACATTTATTCTTGAGCTCATTCCAGTGATTGAGCCGGAGCTGTCCAATACTGTAATAAGGAGCGTTTACCGGTTTTTTTGAAAGAGTCATTAATTAGTTTTTGGAGTGTAAAGCAAGTTTATTGCCTTCAGTATCAATAAAAAGAG